TAAGAAAATGACTACTTGACGAAGAGGCGCAATGAATAAAATTATAGGTGTCATATAAAAAAAGAATAGATTTTGATTGTCAACAAGTGTTAATAGAAGGGACAACATATGTTACAATGTCGACACCGACGATAAAACAATACATACCTACATATATACCTTGTACATGTGTGTGTCTGTATACACATAAAGATCAATCATAATGGTGTTCACAATCTAAACATACATATACTTATATTGAGAAATGAATATGAAGAAGAAGCGTGTCTCTACAAAAGCGACGATCAACCATCACTATTTATTGCGAAGTAAGAGAATGACATAAGCATAAACGAGAGAATGCTTTTGTGCATGCTTTCGCCGTCAAACTCCATCATCTTCATCACATATATGTATATATATATCATGAGAAATATACGGTCACTACGTGCGTAGCAGAACGTTATTTGACGACGCGTCTTATTTATTACTAGGCTTCATCTACACATCAATTTGGTTACCTGACAATACGACTAGATGACGGATTCTTTTTCTATATATGTACTATCGGAAAGAAAAGATTGCTAGTCGACATAATTAATAGTTAGATCATAACCTATTAGTATAGGTAGTGTACTTTATATATTTTTTTTCTCATAGTGTCTGCCGATTATATATACTCACCGATAATCAGGTAAAAACTAAGAACAAACTCTAACACAATAAATTCATATCATGATCCGCTTATAAGAAAAGGTTCTCTATCGTTAGTCGCTTATAGATAAGTTTTTTTGTTTGATAAAAATCTTTGAATAAAGAAATATTTCGTAAAACAAAAAAGAACATGATATAGTCCAGTATTACCAATAGCCAATCAACAGTGAATACAAAATGATAAGACCAGTTCTTTTACATGTCAAACACGCAAAAAAAAAGAATATAAGAGACCGATAATGATGGAAGAGAACGCACAATGGAGACTTGTCGACAAAAAAAAAAACTTGAGTATGCTCTCATACAAGCCTCTCTAGTCACAAATAAATATGATGTGATGATCGCCGTTCTCTCTTTCTCTTCTTGCTTTGCATAGTCAAAAGAGAGGGTGAGAGAGAGAGAGAGAGAGAACAAAGAAAAAAAAGAACAAACTAAGCTGGACATCAGACAATTTGTATAAAGTATGGACAAAGAAGGGAAATAAACAAGAGAGCGGAAGAAATATAAACCGATGCACTTATTTCCACTTTTTTTCTCTTCAATTGCTGATATGCAAGCAGACATTTAGTTATTGAAGTGATGACGATTGATCGATTACTATCTAAACATATGAAACAACGCTCTCACCTCATTTTATACACGTAACCTACAAAACGAATAGAAAAAAACAAATACATACGTATATCTATATCGCCTGTAGAAACTAATTGCAAGATTATTACTACTATATGACCTATATGTAAATCAGTCAATTGCGTGTATATATGCAATTTGTTTTATTTTTGTATGATCTAGCTAGACATATAAATGATCCTTTCTTACTTTGTTTCTTTTGATACTAATAAGCTGACCAATAAATATTATAGACAAATACGCACTTGAGACAAAACTATTTTTGAAGGATATATATATATAGGATAGATATGGAATCTAATTAGCCATTTCTTTTATAACTCTATTGTTTACTAGGTTATTGATATTGCGATTGATGTTTACATGTGTACGAATTTGATGCATACGCACACACACTTTTTCTTTTTCTTTTATCATTAATAATAAAAAAAACAACAAATAATATGACCCGAAGAAATAGATGAATACGAGGGCAGATGGTATATATATAGCTATCTTGATATTACTAGTTGTCGCGATGAAAACTTGGCATATTCCATGTATTATTCTATCGAATGATATCTATAGTGCGCCGACAAAAACAAAACGAAATGTCAATAACAACATCAATGACAGCGTTATATGTTATTATGAATTGGACATATTCATCCACTTGACTTCATGATTCTGGGTCAAGATATGCAAAGATAAACAATGATATTGAGAAAAAACAAATCAATCATAATCTATCGATTTAAACGCTTTAATATCTAATCTTGATGTATTATAGACTGAATAGAAGCAACGAAATGATGTATAAATATCTATACATATGTTTAATTAATGTACGATATTAACATCATTTAACAGATCGCCTTTTTGCAAATAAATCATTTTCTAGATCTCAAATTTAAGTTTGATACATTCATAAATAAATATATATATATATATATATGAAAATCGAATCGATAATGGCATATTTTTATTTGAATTGTTTACTCTTATGACAGTACAATATTCATATCATCAGCAAAAGTGATATTACATTTGTTCTCTGGAAAAGAAATAGTTTACACGATCATATAATGTAATAATACAATCATTTGTGATTATAGTTACTTAGTGAGAATCATTATATTATCATTTACACTGATATAAATATGATGTATGTTACTACACATCTGTTGAATGTCAAACATTTTATTAGAGTTCTTACAATTTGTAGAATCTTTTGATTAGAATTTGAATGATATTTTTTTTTTATTGATATTTTTTTATATACAATAAGAATCTACAGTTTGAGATTTATAAAAACTTTTGTAAAGAAATTAACAGAACTTATTATGATAAACTTAAGATTTTATTTAGAACATATGAACAGTAGTGGTTATTGTAGATAAAACTTTTGTAGAATTACATATTTGTTGAAAGTATTTTTTCGAATAATCTTTCATTAAAAAAATTCATCGAATTGATTACAAAATTAAATATATTAATTGAGAATCGTTTAATTTTTTTAAGTATATAGAGCATCTAAAAATTACGCAGTACTTTACACGTAGAATAAAATGATTATCACATAATTATGATGCGTTCTAATGTAAGATAGTAAAAAAAACACATTTATGACTATATGATTGGAGACGGCTATAATGACTTTCAATGTTGTGAACGTTAATCGATGATTTTTGCCTTTTGATTCTCTTGATAAGTAGTTTTAGAGAATTATTGATATATGTTTGATAAGTAGAAGTCTTTCGTTTTCTATATTTGTCCAGTTTTAGACTATATGACGTTCATTGTTTTAAGACGTTTTGAAGCTAATTTACAGTGTTGAACTGTACCTCATGAATATGCTTTGCTTGTAGACCTTCGAGTTCAAAGATTTAAAACCAATTTATGTATGACACATCTAAAACTTATTACTTACTTACAAATGTATGTATTCACTATAATTTCTATTCATCAATGTTTAACAAAATTTGATTAATTAAAATAGTTCCTTATCATTGTATTGAGTACTGTAATTAAAAAAATGAATTTTTTACTCGAAAATAATTTTAAAAAATTCATCAAATATATGTCTATAAACTAATTCAGTTAGCATATTCTTGAATCGCATTTTTTTTCTTTTAAAATTTGATTTTGCATTATGAATACTATTGTCTAATATTGCAAAGTTGTCATAGTTGACAGAGCAACTATTCAAAGTGATTCGCCACTTTTGACTTCGTACTTTGCTCATGATTCCATGATAGATACTTTCGGAACACTTTCTCCTGTGAGGCGGATATGAGTGTTAGTGCAGAGGTGACGGACATTCATACTCACTCACACTCCACACACCCTGGGTGGATATGGAAGAGGTTGTGAATGTTCGTCACCTTTTCACTCACATCTACGCAGACCTGTAGACTAAGAAAAGCCCAAGATCATATTTTCTAACTTTGGCATGTATCTTTGCGCATATCGAGATCAGAACTCGATTACCTTCTACAAAAAATTTCAGAATTATTCCACATAGCAAAACGAAGATATGAATCTTTCAAAATATAGACGTCTTTTTCATAGGTATTGTACAAAATATGAATATTTTAAAAAAGTCATATTTCGGTTATGCCATGTGCAATAGTTCTGATATTTTTCGTACAAGCAAGCAGAGTCACAGTCTCGATATACTCAAGATTTCATCTCAAAATTCGAAAATATGATTTTAATGGAAAACCAGAGTCCTGCATGGAGATTTCAGTAAAACTTCTCTACTTCAGTCAAGTCACTGCATGGGTCTATATCATCTCGGACTCTACAGGTCTGTTACTTATAGGTAAAATATGGGACCAAAAACGATGAATCACTTCGAATGGTACTCTTGTGAGTGGATGCGTTGTTTGACATATATTCAAAGGTACTATGTGCAAACGAGAATACCATCATCCATGAAATGATCCTGAACAAGCCATCAACGACTATTTCTCTTGGATCACCCATCCGATAGCTTGCTGACTATGTTATGACATACATCTGTTCTTGTGATTAGTTAGCGTATATGGAGAGCGTCAGACCTACCTTATTTTCAGGGCTACAGCTCATCATAGGTGTAAGAAAGATATCAGGCTATCAAATTTGCCACTAGGCAGCACCTCATACCGCAAGATAACTGAAAATGAGAGGTATTCTTCATTTCTAATATTACAAAATTCGTCTTTTTTTTAATCCTTTAATTTCAAACGAATTGTAATCTTCGCTATTCAAATGATCAGTTTCGAAACGTTCTTTAAACTTTCAAATATAACGAGTACCTTAAATTTAAAAAAAACCAAACTAAATTAATATTGACCAGTGTCTTTTACCGATCGTTTTTATCTATAACTTCACTCGAAATGTATTCTATTTTTGTTTACATCAACTTTATATTTTAATTAAATCAATTGATGAAATGAGTAGATCGTACAACTCATAATTATCATTAATATTTAGATAGCTGACAATAATAGACAATTACTAATCTAAGCATTTAATCTTGATACAAGATCTGATGGGTCAGAAGAAAAAACAAGGTAAGTCAATTTTCATAAAATCAATCCATACAAGACTATAATACTGTTTTTGTTTTTTATTAATGGAATTTATATTAGATAAGTTTCTATGACAAACAAAATTAAAATGAAATTTTCTTTTGAAAAAAAAAATAAGTACTAAATGGTTAATGCTCTATTTGCAGCTCGTAGATTTGACTCTGGATGTGAAGCACGATGCTTTCCTGTTGTATTGCTCGTATTGCTAAGTCGATAATTTTCTGAACGTCTATATTGCCTATCGCATAGAATATATCGATGATAGAAAAATTTCAATTGAATTGAATAATCATTAAATGTTTCCATTGTTGCTTGACGAAATCGTTGACCAGCAAGACAATAAAATATAAAATTTGTCTAAAGAAAATTAAAAAAAAAAAAAAAGAAATATAATTAATATTGTTTTGTTAGTTTATTTAAACTTACAGCATTATGTAATTGTAATAATAAAACAGATATGTGTGAGAAAAGAAACCTACGTTTAAGTTTATTTAGTTCATGATGTTTTGGTGGAGAATATTGAACAATAAAAGCAATCATAGCTGGTGTCGAAAATAAATAAAAAGCAAGATTTACTGTAACAAGCATTATAGTTAATTGTCGTTGTTTTCGATTTGAATGAACATCACTTATACGTATATTTAAACCTTCTCGATTTGATAATTGTTGTTTACGTTGACGAAATAACGAACAAATAGTAAATAAATTTGATAATAGTAAAAGATCTGGTAAACCAACCATGACAATTGGTTGATAAATATGATGAATTAATTCAAATTCTGAACGTATAATACATTTTTTTCGTTTTGGTTCTCCATGTATATTATATATTATTGGAAATGTTGTCGAAAAAAATATAATTGCTATTGTTAAAAGCATATATACAGAATAACGTGCTGACTTAACAGTACAAAAGCGTTTAGCTAGAAATGGAGATGTAACAGCAACGTGACGTTCTAAATTAAATAGAAAAAAAAAAATTTTAAATATTTTGAAATTTATAATGTTTGATTTATTTGCTCATCAAATAGATAAGATGTTTAATAAAAATTGTGAAAAAAAGATTAATTCTGGTTTCATATGAATTAATACTATTTTTCTTAAGACTTTAGGAACTTACGATGGAATGGTTTGAAATGATGGATTACTTTTGAGATCATATTTTGAACATATAGAAACGATTAGAATAACTCTAAAAGGATTTCGACTCATAGATCTTCTCTACATAGTTATCACGATTTTTGCTGAATTATTAGTATAGGACAGAGTATTGGCAGGAAAATTTAACAAAAGATTTTCAGCTTAAAGTTTGATCTGTAAGTAGATGTCATGATTCTAAGAATATCCTAAAAGGAACAATCGAGAATTTTTTTATGTTGAATATTTTAAGAAGAAATCAACCTGTTTTATTTTCCTGTCACATTATTCCACCCTACGGTAAAAATTAAGAAAAACTGTCATAATTTTGTAATTATTCTAACACATATATAATATTCTATCTATTTTAGGACACATTCCTTCATCATCCTTTTACTTAAGGATACCACTTCCTTCCTCTTGTTTGTTATTTTTTTGTTTTTAATGACAATTATATAGAGAATCACGTTTTTCTCAAATTAACTTTTTCATGAAAACAAGTACAGAAACGTCCCTGTTTCTCCAGCATAGTACATTCGATCAAGCTGAAACCTGTTTCAGATATACCATACACTGTTTGGCATGGGTGCGTTTTTTTGGTAGCTGTTACAAAAAAAAGGTCTATTAATAAAAAATATGCGTTTTTTGGGTATCTTCGATATTTTGACATTTTAATTCGAAGGGCAAAAAATAAAAAGAAATCCACATCACTAGAGTTCGTCGACTCGGATCCGGATAGGACCCAATAGGTTCTAGTAAAGACTCATTGCTAAAATGTCTGTCATGTTTGTGAGAGATGGGAAAGAGTCAAAATTTCAACTTCTAACTTCAATACTTCTTTTAGATCATGTTTCACAAAATATGAGATCAAAAAGGATGAATCACTTCGAATATAGTTTAGTTATTAGTAAAATATAACAAAAATAATCATTTTAGAATGAATAAAAACTTTTTTGACTATGATGTGAGATCTCTGTTTATTAAAAAAATATTACAAATCAAGATTCATTGATATAAATACGAATATTTTCTATATTGATATTATATATGATTTCTCAAATCAAAATTGTTGACTTCTGCAACAATGGTTAGAATGTCAGCATGATTAAATGTTTACATATGAGTATCATTGACCTTCATTACTTCTTTTTATTACTCCTCAATAAAATATAATTATCAGCTTAAACTGTCTTTTTCTATATAATATTATTACTCTATTCTCGCTTTTATATTAGTACAAAATTAGATATAGATACTGATTTACTTGCATTCTATAAACATAGATTAGTAATTTCAAGCTAGATACGTAATTATTACATGCAATTTTTTGTTGATCTTTTTTAGCTTATTACAAAATAAGACACCTAAAATGGCATGATTACTACTCTAGATAATGAAAAATGATCGACATTTTTCATCTTTTTTCGACCGTTTTACATCGGAACGTAAACGACGTCGTTTCAGTTCAAAAACCACTGTGCGGTGTTGAGAACATATTTTCATCATATACTATCGTATCTACATCATTTTTTTAAATCGTATATGGCTCAGTTTTATTACTCGAATTGCATTCTAAGTAGCATCTTGCTTGTACTTTATATTATTATATGAAAGATTGGATAAGCTTCCTACTAGACATGTAAAAGACAAGTAAATGGATTCTGTCATCTATAGAACTTATAGAAGAAAATGACAAGCGAAGATGTGTACATTCACTCGATAATTCAATATTAATAGTATGTCAATTATCGTGATGGCAAGACACAGAGACGTTTTTGTAAAACGCATATCATATAGTCAAATAGATCTCAACAAAATCTATCCATCAGTACTTGAAATAGGTCGAAAAGCTTAACAAGAGCTTCATATTAAGAGAAAAAACAAAATTTAGAAAAAAAAGTGCACATCTATCTTAGCAAAACATTTCTACGAAATTAAAAAATATCTAATGATGTTTATAAGACACTTTTTGATTTAATATGACAACGGGATAAAACTGCCGATCCACACAATGACCTTTTTAAATTACCTAATGTTATGATAACCAAAACCCAATTGGCACAAAAAGTAAATAAATCCGTAAGATATGTTGATGAACAATGTATAAAAAGATTTCGACGTGGTCGTACTAAATTTCCAGCATGTAAAAGAAGAACTGCACTATCAAATATTGCCATATAAGTTATAAATACAGCTGATGATGTATTTCTTAATGATTTTCTATTAATAACAATTAATGCAAGAATATTTCCAAGTAGACCACTGATAGAAACAAATGGTTGAATAAATCTAAGTGTAATTAACTTTACTTCTCCTATATATTTATTTATTTCTTCACGAATGAAATCATCTGGTGGTAACAACAATGATGTATTATTGGCTATGGATGTTGCCATATTATCTAAACATAATTATAAGAATATATTTTGTTTATTCAAAATTACATTTATAGTGAAATAAAATATTCTATCAATTTATATAGAGAAATAAGAGATACACATTATGTGAAATGTCGGAAAAGCAGAATTTCTTGTTTTGGTTTATTTTAGTTATATATGGTAAGATTGAACATACCGAGCTGATCAACAATATATGTATTTTCTATTTTTTTTGAAATGATTCTTTTAACGGAAAAATTTTTAGTTTTTCCAGATGAACCGCCTTTTTGTGAAAGACAGGTTCAATTTTAATAACTGACAAATTTTCAATTTTTTCATTTCTTTTAAATTTCAAAACTGTTTCTTTCAGATTTACCGTGAAAGAGTAAATGTAGGAAACTCATTTATAAATGAATTTCCTAGATTTACTCTTTCACGGTAAATCTGAAAGAAACAGTTTTGAAATTTAAAAGAAATGAAAAAATTGAAAATTTGTCAGTTATTAAAATTGAACCTATTTTCTACAAAAAAAGTGATTCATCTGGAAAAAAACTGAACATTTTTCCGTTAAAAGAATCATTCCAAAAAAAATAGAAAATGTACATATTGTTAATCAGCTTGACATGTTCTTTCTTACTAGATATAAAGTGAAGAAAAAAGAAATTCTGCTTTAATTGAAGCACTCTAACACGTTATACTAATAAAGTTATTTATTCACACGACATCGTTCTTCGTAGAATATCTTTTAATGATAAGTAAATTATGAGTTCGATCATTTTTTCGGAGTCTTGTTGTTAATCTTAGACATACACTACTAACGCTCGAAAAGATTCTTAACTTAAAAAAACATTCTATGATTGCCAAAAAGACCAATGATAATAGTGTCTATACAATGCGTCGATCTTTTATACGAGATAAATAAGTATAGAAGTATTTCTCTACGAAATGAAAAGGAAAGATTAACACGAAAAAATACTATCTATTAAGATAGACTATATTTTCACTTAAAGTAATAGCTAATTCATATTTCATCAACTTACACATTTGTTCTCGCATATAAGAATAAGATGAGAAAGGAAAACAAAAGAGTAAAGGTGTGCACAATTCAAAACTTCAGCAAAATTTTTTTTTGTTTTCATTGGATAGAGCTCGTCGAGTTACATAGGAAAAGTGTATTCTCAATTTTTCCAAAACTTTTTTTCATCAAAAAAATTGCGCATACTATTATTTTCTAAGATATATAAAAACAAGCCGAAATACTGGCGCGTATATCCTGTTTTTCCTTCTATAAGGCGTTAGAATCTTGAATCGATTATTTTCTCTTTCTCATCTGCCATAGAGCTTAGAAAAATAAGCGAAACTTTATTATATACAACAAAGTTTCGATGATTTTTCTCAGCTCTATGGTAGATAAGAAAGAGAAAAAAGCTCGATTCAGAATTCTAATGCTTTATAGAAGAAAAAACAGGATATATGCGTCAGTATTTCCGCTTGTTTTTATATATCTTAGAAAACAATAGTATTCGCAATTTTTTTGATGAAAAAAAGTTTTGGAAAAATTGAGAATACACTTTTCCTATGTAACTCGACGAGCTCTATCTAATGAAAACAAAAAAAAATGTTGCTGAACTTTTGAATTGTGCGCACCTCAAAAGAACAGTTTTTGTCGATGTTCTTGCTTTTAATTGTAAATAGACATAATGGAATTATTGTTAGAGAAAAAATTACACACATACAAATAAAAATGTCAATATTTATTTGCATGGAAAATTGTAATAAAGCGTATTTTCTATGAAGTAAATCAACATGATTCCACTGTGAATTGAGCATAATGGAAACACGTTGTTCTTTGTTGTAAAGCATAATTGATCATGATCACTGTAGTCTCCTGTGGTTCAATTATACTTATATACATGCTTCATCTTGTAGACTGTGATAAATCTTTCTATCTGTTGTAATTGGTGGATGAATGGAAAAATACAGTGCAAATTATGGCAAATGGGTTATATTTTTTCTCCTATAGTATATCGCGATATTTTATATTAGAATTTTCTTTCTATCATTGGATATAATTACTTATAAACTAAAATAGATTTTTAATATTTAAGCTCACCTTATTCTTTTTGTTCAACTCATAATTCTTCACATATCAACAGATATTGCATAAAAATCTTTTGAAAATCGAAATAAAAAAAATCTTTAGTCTATTTTATAAGTGGATTGTTAATTCGAAAAAAACATATTAAAAAAAAAGAAAGTAAAATATTTCTGACTTTTATCATTCGTTACTTGTATTAAAGATAATTCATAATAACATTTAGAACTCGGAAATATTTTTGATCTAATTATTTCTTCAGAGAATAATAAGCAATAAAAATCTTCACATATATACCGTATTAATCGTTATTCATGAAGATATAAATCTAATTGTTTTCATTTTCTTATTTACTCTAGTACTTACATATTCTAGATTTGAGTAGAAATTTGCATCCTCCCCCTCACAAACAATACTGCGAGATTATTATAATTCAATATATTGCAATTAATATCTTGCATTAACATTAGATAGGAACTCATAGACTGAAGCATATATTGAGTAATTTCCTTTTTTACAATACCAACTGTTCCATTATATTTCACATTTTACTCTCGTAGGGATTGAGCTAACAGATTTTGTTTTTTTGAATAGTAATATATTCTAAAAATATGACTACAACGTAAAAAAAAGAATAAGCTATATTTATGATACTTGATTCATCTATCGATGGATCAATAAAATGATGGTTGATTGTCGGCTTCTTTTTTTTCTCAATTCTTTGGCTTTAATTTATTGTAGATCGTCTCAAATAAAAAACAAAATTTATTGTTCTTTTTACTTGCATTCCGTTACTCATGTCTATCATTTTTTTTCATGTATACTTTTGTTCATCTCAGTTCTGTCGTATGAGTAAAAATGACACTTACCTTATGCTTTTTTTTCTTAATATAATAGAAAATTTTGTATCTCGTCTATATGTTGTCGTATTTTATCGCAATAAATTTATAGCTTAATCTAAAAAGTGAATCTTTTTCTCTATAATGTAATATTCAAAGAAACTTTATTCGAAACACATTGATATCTATATTCTTTGAAAAAAAATAATTCGGTTTAATATTATTAACATATCATTATTATAAATTAATATTTTTACAAAAGTAACTAAATATTCTGATAGCGAATGGAATTTTCTACCATCCTATATATGTGTTTGTTAAAATAAAAGTTCAAGCACGGCGAAGACACCTTCATCATTAAATTCTCCGAAAATTTATTTATTTTTTGTTCTACATTCATTTAGTTTTTCATCTTTATTGTAATATAGGAACAAGCTACTACTACAAAAGTAAGTATATATTCTGAAAGCGCATAAAACTCTCTATCAGCTTGTACATTTGCCAATATTGATTTTCCATTAGTTGATGACAAATATTTGCATTTTACTAATGTGCTGTCTGTCGCCTTCACTTTCAACTATACAACATTGACGAATGGTTATCTAATTATTAAATAAAATGTATGAATAATAATGGGTATACGCATAGAATGATAGAGAATTTCATGCACTTTTAGAATATATACTTACTTTTGTAATATCTAGTTTCTATATTTAAAAAAATTGGAAAAAAATGAATGGAAAAGAAATCAAAAATGCATTTTCCAAGGATGATTTGATGATCAGGATGTGTTCGCTGTGCTCGAGTTTCTGGTTTAGCGAACGGGTGCAATTCAAAACGCACATATATAAGGTTGCTGACAACTCCGCAAGCTATCAGAATATATAATTACTTGGGTAAGAATATTAATCTATAGTAATGACTTGTCAAAAATATCAAATCTAACTGCTTTCTTTCCAAGAGAATATCTACATATACAGATATAATAAAGATGCAAATACGTATATTCTCAGTTTCGAAAAAATAGCAAAGTGGCAACACAGTGACATGTCAGAAAAAAAAAGAACGTTCTTCTATCCTATTTAACTGTTAGACGGAAGTCAAATACAAATAAGATTTGTATTTTAGATGTGTCGTCTCTGAGAGAATGTCAAGAATAAAAACTGGCGTATGTAATATCTATAAGATGATATGACAGATCATGAACACACGCACATATATATATATGTCGTGTCGAAGTTACACTCTTTGTCGAAGTTGTAACTTTGGCAAAAATTTTGTCGAAGTTACAACTTCGACGGACATTTTTGTCGAAGTTATAACTTCGACAATATAATGTTTGTCGAAGTTGTTAACAACTTCGACAAAATTTTTGCCGAAGTTACAACTTCGGCAAAGAGTGTAACTTCGGCACGACATATATATATAACATTCGGAAACATTTTAGCAGTTAGAAAAAATATCAGACTGACGGGTCATTCTGATAATTATATTCTATTTTTGTACAATTGTTCTTATTTATTGATTCAGTAAAAAAATCTCTTATTGATACAATAATATGAATAGAATTAGTTAAAGTTTAGAAAAAAAAAGAAACTCGAGACAAATACTAATGATGTGAATGTCAACAAAAGAGAGGGAAAATGCGAAGAGATATTGACATTTGTCAAAATCAGACATACAGTATTCTTTATTTATAATCGAACTATCAAATATATGCAATTCTAAATGTGTTATTGTTTATAAGAAAGTTGACTTCTCTTTCTACTTCATCGAACATAAGATACAGATTTTTCTGTTTTAATCTGTGAAGCAGAATATAAGATGTTTATTGAAGAATTTCTCTATTAATGTTTGTTTCTTCCCATATATTTCATTACAAAATATAAACAAATGAAACTTAATCGAAATAATTGATTGTTATTTGAGCTGTATGTCATTAACAATTTGTGCATTGATTTAAATAAACTACATTAAGAAAGAAAAAAGTAAAAATAAAAACTACACAGTTGAATCGATAAGAATAACAGTACGAATGATAGAAAAAGAAGAATATTACAACAGCAAGTAGTTACGAAAAACCT